TTATTTAGAAACTATCAGACAGATTCTTTTAACGCAGCAGTTCTTTGTTTATTTCGATAATGGCAACATGGCCAACTGCAGATGGTTTATTTTAACTTCTTCTAACTCCTGGCTTATTGAATTCTTTGCAGCTGCCATAGCCTGAGGAGCTGACTCATTGATATAAATGTTTAATGTATCTGTAAATCCTACTTTAAAGTTGCGTTGTGCCTTTCGCATTTTTTAGGAGCTTCTGCAGCTGTTTCATTATACCCTGAACCCATTACAAATGGGTCTAGGCTAGCCATGTCCGTCTGTCTGTCCGTCCGTCCGTCCGTATGTATGAACGCAAGGATCTCAGAACCTATAAGAGCTAGAGACTGAAATTTTAGATGTAGGTGCTCCTAGTGCCCGTGCAGATCGAGTTTGTTTCCGATAATCGATAACTTACTCCGTTTCCAAGCAATCGATAAAAAAACGATATCGATATCCTCTTTTTTGGGCAATTTTGGTAAATAATAAGATCTTAAGTCACCAAACTTGACATATAGCTTCTAAAATAGAATATATATATGCATTTGATGTTGGAAGAAGAGGGTTCAGGGTATCCCCTAGTCGGGAGCTCCCGACTAGAACCTCTTACTTGTTGAAACTTATTATGGTTGTGGTTAAATAGAGAATAATGTTTCTAGTTTTAATAATATACTCGAATCTCTGTAGCTACAAAAAGCACATTCAAGGCAATCAAATCATAATGTGGGCTTCGAATTCCCAAACGGTTTAAGCGCCAATTTGATGAAATGATTTCACATGAGAATTCTGTGCAAACTTTGCACAAGAAGGACATTTGTCTGCTTAACTGAAAGAGGAGCTTTTATATATTGCCGCATATAAAATGTCACAGCATATATAAATAGCATTACACAAGTAGAAAAACTGTTAAGACACGACGTAAGCATATCAAATTTGTTGACAAAAATTCACCGAAGAAACCAGTGAAAACAATTTTTATTTCTTACCAGTTGGGGTCGCAACCCCATATTCAAAGGGGCAAAGTATCTGGGTTGGGCTTGGGTCACAAAACGATTACCTAATGGGTCTGAGCTTTGTTTAGTTTTATGTGTGTGTTCTATTACCCTTGCAGAGGGTATTATAATATTGTCTTGACTGTGTAACTCATAAAAGAATATATAATTATATATATTCTTGATCAGTCGAGTCGATATAGCCATGTCCTTGTTGTTTTTCAAGATATCTTTACCAATCTCGACATTAACTATTTTCCCTGTGCTACTTAGATACGAGCAATGCATTATGAAAGGCTCGCTCAGCAAGGGTATTAAATCTTTGACGTGCCGAAGATAGACTTTCTTTTCGGTTTTTATTTTTTCAGTTTACAGAACCATAAAATCGACTCGTTTTCGTCTGGCCAGGGTGTTATGGCCATAACCCGGTTCTGTCCAACGACATTAGCTAATGACTGTGAAATGGCCTGTGAGAGTGGCTCGTAGATATTTGCATAAAGACTTCCTTGGTGTACAACAAAGCAGAAATTAATTAATCATGCCATTTAATTATACAACATTTTGCAATTAAATTGCAAAAAACAGCTATTGATTAAATGGAAAGCCATTGGTAACAGCCATTGGAGCGGAGAATTTCAGGAGAGATTGCGGACATTTAATTAAATGCATAAATCACGAACAGAAGAGAAATTAAACTTAATAAGTGCTTAAGAAAAAGTAGAATATAAATAATATGAATTAAAAGTTAAGATATAACGAATAGATACAATAGAACAAGTTAAATATTATACTAGATATTGTGATTAAATATAGAACAAATATTGAAAATATAAATGAGACATGGGAATTATCATATCATATATCATATCATATTTCATGGCACAGCTTTCTCTCGCTTGTGAGTCGTGCATCATATTATACAAGCCCTCCATGGTTACTTAACGTACTTCATTGAGAGCCTAACAGCGACCCATCAAAGTTAAATTAAATTTCAAACACTTAATATACACAATGTCACTTTACAACACTGATCCCATTTAATGCTGTGTATTGTATGCAAATAACGGAACCCATTTCGCAGGCTTCTTGTAAATTTGTAGTTTTAAACGACTTGCAATTAGTTTCTCATGAATTAGCCATCAAAGAAACAACAAAGTGAATTCCAGAAGCCGTTCAGGCACTCAAGTACTTGTATTTAAGCATTTGGCGAGAAATTTCGATGCACGTTGGCCTTAAAGCAGAGCAATAAGTGCTGGAAAGCGCTGATATAGCACAAAAATGCCTGGTCATAAAATTTAAAACGTGAGAGTTTAACGTTGTGGAGCACTCCACAAAGGGGCGTTAAGAATTTTTTTTTGTCTTTTTCTATTTTTCTTTCTGTAAAAAACCTACGCAGAGGAAAGGAAATTTATTCGTGTGTTTTTATATACCCTTACAGTAGCAACGAGGCAATTGAATGGGGCATAACCGACACCACAGAATAAATATACACTATATTTTAATATATGTATGTATGTAAATATATATGTAAATATTCCTGATGTGAGCTTATTTCTGCTTATTTCTGATGTAACTTGATTTCCAATTAACGAAATGTTGTACGAAAAGTACCTTATATTTTAAATATGTTTTGAAGGGTATTTAGCTTCGGCTACCAGTAGTTAATTCTTTTCGATTCATTCTGTTTTCCTTGGGGCGTTAAAACAAAAACAAAAGCTATGAAAGCGACGAGCACAAACAATAGAGTCGTTTATTGCATTGATTATGAAATTTTTCATTTTATTATTATTATTTTTTTTTCATTTTCATGCTGTTTAAATGCTGGGAAATAACACACACATTGTTTTGCTACAGGTATATGTATATGTATAACAGGTTTACAGTTACTTATCATATAATTTCATACACATAAGTGTGCGTGTGTGTAAACGTATGTAAACCAAACGCAACTCTGTGGGAACTGGATTTTACTTATACCAAATAGTTACTTCATTTTTGGTATCTCGAGTGCTAAAGTACTTAAAGTACTCACTTGAAGTAGTCTTTTAATTCATTTGAGCCGCTCAATGGACGTTCATTATCAATTGATTCATATAATGAATGAGTGATATCACGGCTGAAATCGGTTCTGGTTCCGCACCTGTTGGAAATGTTCTGCCTACGTGTATTAACTGTAGCTGTAGTCAGTTAACTGTAACTAAATGGGCCTTACTAGATCTGATAATGTCATGAAATCGTAACACATGGCATACGTGTACCAAACCCTTTTAGCCAACTCATGATCCCCACATGCCACCATGCCGCCCCCTCTGCTTTTGTAACGCATCATTAGCAACTGTCTGAATTGTAGGCCAAAGAGTTGTTGTCTGCGGTACCATCGGCGTTTATTGCGAGAGCACTACCGATGCCGTGACCAAAACTGAAGCCCAAGCCGTCGGCTGATATGTTGATTATATTGCGCGCTGCATTTTATATGGTAAAACGATATGATTGCATGATGACATGACATATAATAAAGTCTATTGAAGAGGCACACAACCACAGGGACTCAGTCGGCAGACAATGCCCAAACAACTTAAAGACAAAATTACAATTAGAGATGGGCGTGTACCAAACAACACGAAAGACAACAAAATTGGTAAAACAATACACAATAGACTAAATGAAAATATTCTTATAAGCAATATTTTCATATTCAAATTTGATATTTAAATATTATGAGTATTTTTAGATATAAATGTTTTCAAATAATTTATATAAATGGCAATTAAAGAGTTAATTTTAATAAATTTTAAGCAAAAATACTTATATATTCGATTGATAGCTACGAAGACTTGTGATAAGTTTACATTATTCCAGATATTGCTACTTTACTTTCAGTTCTAGACCCACATAGTTATGTATTGATATGCTTAACATGATCATATGGGATTTTTGCAATATTTAATTTTCCACTCACGACACAACACGGGCACATCTCTAATGTTAAGCTGGAAACGGCAACGCCACCGGAAAATTGACAGCACTCAAGCAACAATAACCGCATCGAATGGAAGCGAATCAAACATGCGGGGGAGTTGTGAGAGGGCAACTAAATCCAAGTATGAGAAGTAATGGAATAAATGGAACACAGCATGCAGCGAGTGCGCTATGTGGGGGTCTAGAGGCTAATTTTAGTGACACAAGTTATTAGCTGCAAGCATGTGTGTGTGTGTGTGTAGGTGTGTGAGTAAGCGATAATATCTAGAGCCTTAACTAAATAAAGAGATATAGGTAATCGATAGGCCTCTATTGGGGCAACACCGAAAAGCTAAAGGGCGAAATGTAAAGAAAGAGTTTGTAAATAGTAATTAAATGTATGAAATATGTTATTCCCAAGTATATATAACATAAAACATATTTTATTTTGTGTATGTCCAAGAAGTACACGCAAAAACCTCCATGCTGCAATTTTTGGTACAAAAATAATGTTTCCCATTATGAAAAATCCAGAACAAACTTGAATATCGTTGGAAAAACTGTGTATACACTACTTATATAGAACATTTTAATATACACAGAGCTAAGTAATATAAACTAAAGAAGATTAAGTGAAGAACGAAACCAAAGGACCCAGCTTAGATACAGGAAGCTGCTGCAATGAGGAAGAAAATTAAATACTCAAATACTCAATTAGATAATATATGTTGAGAGAGCATATGAGAGCAGCAAACGGAAAGAACTTAATGAATAGCACATCGTATCTCGGTTGTAGATCGAAATTAATGTGGCAGCACCCTCTCTAGAGGGTTCTCGCAAACCCCCCTCCCCCACACCCACACCCAACAACATATTTAAATGCACATGTTAAAAATGCCAACTAACACACACAGAAAAATCAGAAAAGTTGTGCTGCAACTTTTAATGGCATGCCACCGAGTCCTGGCCACACCAAGGACAACAGAGGCGTCGAAAAAAAGTAAAATAAATCAGAAACATAAATCAAGGCAAACGTACACAGAGTAAATGCCTGGTAGAAGGGAATTAAAGAACAATGCGGCACTTTAAATGGGTCGCGCTTCCAGGAACCAGATTCGCGCCACTTAATGCTCCAGCCACTGGGCGTTGAATTTTTAGTGGTAATTGCATTTACCGTACGAATAATTAAAAACACGGCACACAGCACTCAAAAGGTTAAAAACGTTAAAACATTTAGTTTACTTTGAATCTGGCACGTTCTAAATTTTCAACGTCCTGCGGACGGGACGCTCGTTAAGGTCCAGGTGCCAAGAGAAAACAACAACAGATAATATACGACTTTTCGGAATAATATACGACTTTTCGCGTTTGTCCAACCGTTGCCGATGCCGCACTAAACGCAACTGAGCGCTGCCAACGAGCGAACGACTTGAACAACTTCGACTTCGACTTTTACTTCGCTCGTTGACTCGGCTCCAGCAACAACAACAACAATAATAACAATAACAGCAACAACAAGCAAGAGCTGCTCTCTTTTTAGCTAGCGACCAATGCGGGGGCCCGACAGCATGCACTTTGCCTCGGCTAACAACAACAGCAATGCGTTTGTTGTTATCTTTATTCAGCTCGTGTGCTCGTGCGCTCATTCGTGTATTTGCAACTGTAAATTTTGGAGTCTTGCATTCATTTAGGCAACTAAAAAACTAAGTTTCGAATTTGAATCTTATCCGATATGAATATCAACTGAAGACCAAAGTATAGCTACTGATGTTTAAAAATTGGGTAAGATAGTTAAATATAATACTATTATCTATTTAAATATTTGCAAGAAAACCGGCCATTCATTAGTATACTACGCCTATTAAACTCGTACTGCATAATACACTTTCCAAAACAGACAAGCACAGTCTTCTTAAGAATGAACCTATTATTTAACTAATTCTGCATCTACATACATTTCCTACATATTTGTACAAATCCTATTTTTCAGGATAATGTGCTATCTCAAACCTGAACCGATTTCAGCCATCGTGACGTTCGTTCGTTATATCTACAAAAAAATATATATATGCATACTATATAGGGAATTTATCCCTTAATTACATTTGTTGTAAAGTTCTTGAACCTTGTTGCCTATGAGCCATTTAACTTGTTAAGTACTCAAACGGCAACAACGTGGAAATCTTTACCATGGCATTAATCTGCGAACTGCTTAGCGCTGTGAGTTCATGCCTTCGGGTAGATTGGCAAGACTCAAGGGTGCAACTTGTTCGCTTGAAAGGGGCTTACCTGGGCTCAGTTGAGTGCAGCAATTAACCGTTAAGGAATGCCTGTAAATAAAACCGTAAGGGCGGCGAGTTGCAGCCATGTGCGGACTGAGTGGGAGAGAGCCCCCTCCCCCAAACAGAAGGCTGCCGCTCGAGTGGCCCTAAAAGTGAAAAGCGAAACGAGCGGATAGCTTAAGAAACAAAGAATCAAGTAACTTTTAAGTGGAGAAGGTCGCCGTTTATTGATTGCGACGCAGTCGAAGGCGATGAAAATGATGGCAAAAGCAAACGCTAAAGCAGAAACCAAAACAGACAACAAGAAAAGCACCAGCAAGCCGGGAATTGGCACAGGCCCTTGAAAAAATCCGTTGAGCCCACGCAAGATGCGACGCGACACGACGTGAATATGACGACCAAGTGCAAATGGCATTTACTGGCAAAAAAAATGCTCGCACAACGAATCTTCGCATTCCCTACATACAATAAGGGGTTTTTCAACCTATACATCAGAAAGAAAAACTTGAAATCGAAACGTTCAAATTTCAATTACTTTCATACTAAGTATTGTTGCAATAAGTACTTAGTTCTGTCTCTTTTTTTTCTTATTTTTGATTCATACTAAATTTGGGAATATTCAATAACGGAATTTACTATTTTTATACCAAAATTCATCAGGTTTATTTTAACAGTTTCACTAAAATGTTGGCTATAGTTATACTAGCCTGATTCTTCTACGTATGATACAACTATTTGAGGAAGTTTTGGTTTAATTCAGTTTATAAGACCCATGGAGAATTATAATCCTATGGGATTATGATTTAAAAGAAATAATATAAATAACACCTTAACTATAGGAATAATAATGCTTATTACTACAGTTTCTGCCTTAGAAAATATGATGACGTAGTCTTTGTGTGTGCCACAAATCGGGTATGTCAATGGACGGCAAATTGCAGCAGCTTCAAAGACGACAATCTTCTCAAGAGCTGTTGTTAATGTTGGGGCACAAATACTTTCTGAGAGCAGCTAGCAACTTGGATGTGCCCCCAAATGCTGGCGACTCATTCAACCAAGTGGCACAAACACAAAAGAAAAAATGAAACATATAAGTACGCGATATAGTCTACGTTTGCAATCGACTGCACAATACTCTAAAAAAATGTGTTATGTTCGAACAAGTTCGAGCCGGATATTCCACTGAAAGTTGCAAAGAATATGATGGACCGAGGTTCGAACCACGAGCTGTGTTCGTTGATGTGGAAAACCCGCGTGCTGAACTTAATCCTAATACAAAATATTGGCCACAACCGTAAAAATCAACAGCCAGACTTTTCTTTGGGTTGCATCCATTTGTTACACAAAACAAATATACGCTCTTGCACCTTTTTGTACAGTGTATATAATCATCGCCAACGATGCAGTCGGCAGGACATTTCTCTTGATTTGCAGGTCAATTGGGCTGCAGGCAGCAGTCGGTCACTGTCCTCGTTCATGTCAACGTTGCCGTTCACATTTTCCCCCGAGTTGGCAATACGTTCTGGGCCAGGTCCGAAGTGCCCGTTGAGCTGCACTCAACTAAAACGTAACGGTAGAAAAGAGCCAGTCAGTCCGTTAGTCAGTCAGTCAGTCAGTTCGTCGGTTAGTCAGTGAGCACTCGAAGTGCGTGCAACGTTTGTCAAATTGCAAACTGCAAACGACGACGACGGCGGCGGCGGCAGCGGTTGCCACTTTCTGTTCCCATGCCCAACATGGCCCATACCGATCCCCATATAGCCGCAACCGGTAGCCGCATCGCCAGCAGTTGACAAAACCCAACCAAGCAACCAGCAACAACAAAAACAACAACATCAACCGCAGCATTTGTAATGGAAATGGAAATTCCTGCATTGAAATCTCGCTTTATATGATTTCTTGTTGTTGCCGTTTAAGACTGTTATTATACCCTAACAATGAGTGTAACATTATTGAGACAAGCTAAAGAACACATTGAAGGATACCAGCTCAATCCTTTAAGCATATGCTAAGCTAAATAGTTGAAGCCAAGTCTCACTATCTCTATTCTAGTCTATTCGAACTGGTCTCTTCGTGAATCTATATAGACTTGGTTCCTTCTTTTTCCTCCAGGCTGTTGCCATAGATCTTGCTATTCGATCTGTTGAAAACTGGGTTCTCATATGAACATTACTATATATATGAAGCCTTAAATATTTCACCAAAATCTTTTCAACATTTACAATATAACCCTAACATGATCCGATGCTCCTAAGATATGAGATATAAAATCTTATCTTATTAAATCGGTAATAATTCCAATGGTTTTGCATAGAAATATATTCAAATGAGTTAAATTTTTGTTAGGGTATTTCATCTTCGGCATTCGAAAGTTTAGAAGTTCCTTCTTGTCCGACTGCAAGTGACATTACCCATCAGTCGTCGTCTTTTGTCATTTTTGTTGTTTGTATTGTTATTTTAACTGTTGCACGTTTGTCCACGTTGCATTCTCCACTCCAAGTTTTCGACTGAACTGTGTCCATTATATAGCTTTTCTCAATTCACGTCACGATAAACGAAATACCACCCAAAAAGCGAAACTCAATTGTAATAAGGAAATGATATTTTAAACCTTTTTTCTTTTTTTTTTTTTTGAGTCTCATTTTACCGGTTAATATAAAAATTGTATTTCTTTTGGGGATTTTGCTGTTAGAGATTCTGCTGATTCATAGAAAAATCTAATAATTTTAATTATTGTAATACATGCGATAAAGTAGACACTAGTTTTTCTCATTTGTAATAATGCTTTTTGTTTTTATTACGTGTTCAGTTCCGTCATTAAAGCGACCTAATCGACCTTATCTTTCAGACTTTAACATTTTTTACTAGGTTATTTAATGATTTTAACAACAAACTAATGTATTTGCGAGCATATAACATTTTCCCAATTGGATATCTGCTAATTCAGAAACAACGAAAAATACAAATTCTTCTTATTTATTTTACTAAAAGAACAAATGTTTGTTAAAAGATAAAAAGTGAATAAATGGAACAATCATAGAAACCGAAAGTAATTTAAGGCAGTTCTTGAATCATCAAAGTATTTTATAGATTATCCTTATTGTTCAATATTGGTTCGTTTTTGATCGTTTTTTAATTTTCGAATATTATGCTTAAATTTTTGATCCTAACAAATCTCACGGATTGTTAAGTTAATTGTACTCTAACATTATTGCTCCAGGCCAAGTTTGCGTGTTGGAATGCAATTGTTCCAAATCGTTAATTCACATTTCGCTAATAGCAAAAAAAATGTTTTACATGTATTTTTTTTTTTTTTGTAGCATTTTTAGCGTGTCATTGGCAAAAGTTGCTAAATGTAGCTCCAATATTTCAAGCTGTACCCGCTACAAACGTGTATAAAACAGGGTACAATGGAACTTTGCAAGAGTATGTAACAGAACAGACATTTTTCAAAACGATTGTTAAATAAATACGAACGTTATTAAACAATAAACATTGTGTAATTTGGAAGAAAAAGAATCACACTCAATGATACAAATGATACAAAAGTTATGTAACAATGTCGATATAAATAGGTCTCGGAACAAAATACACGGTATCACTAAGTCGGGCACGGTTGATAGTTGAACTTTAATAGTGTATATTGCGGTTCAGTTGTATTCTTAACTAAAACATTCATGTTCTAAAGCTATATAAATTCAAATACATAACTTTGAACTAAATCGTTTGACACAAATTAACTAAGGAACTTAATTTTCGGAAACATGATAATTGCTTAAAATTGATAACAGTTTAAGAATTTCACACGCAAGAAAGTGATTTATTGATATTCATTAATTCCTAATATAAATTGATTATTCGCAGCTTTACCCGACAAAAAGGACAAACCTTTCTTTGGTCACATACATACATACATACATATGTATATGCGCATTACAAGAACATCAAACAAGCAAGCAGCAAAATGCAACAACAACAAATACCAAAGCCAAAACGAGATTAGAAATGGGCAACGAAGTTCAAGAGCAGAAACAAGCGTGTAGTTGTTAATGGAGCCACGCGGGGGTCGGCGGCAACGGCGGCGTTGCCAATAGTGTGTGAAA